CAGCCGAGTCCAGCAGCACGACTTCAACGTCACGCCGACTTCAGATCCATATTCAAACACACAGATTCTAAATGGAACGAGTTGAAGCGTTTGTTTGAACACTCTGCAGGAGGCAGGGACTTGCTTTCAAGCAGAACAGAAACTAACTTAGAGGAGTGTTCACGTGTTCGGCGTAATGACGTACAACGGCCTCCACGACTTCTGTAGTCCTATTCAGCCACTTGGTAACAACCATCGTTTTTCAGACACGTCAACTCTTCAGAAATCACCAGTGGGGTCTCTGCTGATGATTTAATGTCGTAGAACAAAACGTGATCCGTCTCTTCAATGAGTCTCAACCACAGACCTTAGTTCCAGATATTTTCCCAAACCCTATGGAGAGATCCCATTGGCTCTGAGACCAGGGAACAGGAAGTGGAGAAATGCTGACTCACTTCCTGGTTTTAGGACTCGTCACTGCACCGCTCTATACATACACTAATATTAATAATACAACATATAGTCCAATAGTCAACATTTATAAAAAAAACACAAATGTAATAATTTGGAAAATTCACTGCATGTTTTTAAACATTAAAAAGCTGGATAAAAGCTTTGAAATGTAAGAAAATCCATCCGAAATTGTATGAAAATGAAGGCAGGGCTCGAGCTTAAGGACGTCCCGTCGTCGAAAAAAATAGTGTCGGGGAGGATAAAAAATAATTTTGGGACGAGAGTTAAAATTAAAATACCCTGCTAACTCTACTACAAACGGCGATGAAAATTAAACCGACTGCACGTTTTGTGTAGCACACAGTTATTAAACCTCCTTGTCAACATAAACACACAAAACATTTAGCAACCCGCTAAATACACACACATGTAGCTACAGCTGTGCGGCTGGCTGTGCCCACAAGGGTCTAGCTATGTACTGAGTGTGTGTATTTCGCGGGTTGAGTGATGTACAATGGCATCCCGTGGAGGAATTCTGAAATGTTTTACCATTAATCACAAAAACGCACAGCAGAACCAGACCCTGGAGCGCCGGCCTCTGTATTTATCTTACTCCTCTTCATCCCCTATGGGTAATAAGGCTGAGAAGAGAACCCTCCATCGTATTTAGTCCTCTCCCCATGTAGGGATGGGTACCGAGCCCCGGTATTAAACGGGCCCCGGGCCGGAATTATTAAAGACAGTGGTAACGTTAAGCTCGGACGTTATCGGACTTTTTATCGGTACTGGAGACATTTAAAAAATATATGTCATATGTATTATTGCTACATACACATTATATCGCAGTTTTAGTTTCACCAACTCCGTTTCTAATATGCAATAAGACTACAACTATGATGTATTTTCGAGCTTTCCAATCCAGGCGAGATCTCTCTCTCCCGTCTGTGTGCGAGGGGGCGGGGCCGTTTGCAAAGGCCTCCTGACTGTGTTACAGACTGTCCTCCTGGTTAGCGGTTACTCTGGGTTCTGTCTTCAGGACACAGTGTTGGATTTGTTTGTTAATTGGATGGGACTTGATTGGATTCAATATTAGAGTAATTTTCTCGTTTGTTTAAATATATTTGGCCTTTGTTTATGTGATTGAATGATTTACTCAAATAAAAAGGTTGATGAATTATCATCTAATGATTTGTATGATGTTTTATGTTAAAGGTCACTTTGAATGATTTTAACTAATGATAATGTAGAAAAACTAACATTTTAATTTCAGGACGGTTCCGGGAGGATGGTGAAAAAAGTTAGTCGAGAGCCCTGAATGTAGGATAGGATAATCTCACGTATTAACAAATAATTGCATGTGGGGATTTATGTACGCAATTTTTTTATTACTGCACATATTTTATTCCATTCTATTTCAATGTAAATACTTCTATATTTTACTGTATTTTTTAATGATAATAGTTTTCTTAAAAATAGTTCTCTGTGTTTTACATTTTTGTTTTGCTTTTATGTACGCACCACGACATCAAGTCAAATTCCTCGTATGTGTCAACCTACCTGTTGAGAAACCTGTTTCTGATTTTCTGACACAATTTCACGAAAGTTGAGTCGTTAGCCGACTGAGAAGAGACGGCGTTTTGCTCACAGTTTTTGGGGATCCTGACGGCCTTTGCCTCGTCTTTCCCGACGCCCAGCAGCAAAGTGTAGGGGTGGAGAACGGATTTGAGCTTCATCTCCTCCAGAAGCTCCATCATCACCATCACTTTCTCCCAGCCCGGACACAGCAGCACCGCCATGGGCTGGACATCAACACAAATCAGACATACGCTAGTCATTCAGAGACATTTTAAAGTGTAAAATGTCTACCTTTGAGGAAAGAATTGTAAAGACTTTGCACTCTTATGTAAATACACTAAGGTTTCAGCGTGAGAGTCCTTTTAGTTCATTGTTTTGTGTTTATATCTTGTGACCTTTCATTTTGGTATTGACTCTACCCTCTTGTTTCAGGTGTCGACATTTCCTGTCCTGGTGTCACCTGTCAGCCTGATTGTTGTTTCCTGCTCCTGATTGTTTCCACCTGTGCCCATTACCTAATGTGTGTGTGTGTGTGTGTGTATATATAGCCCTTCTCTCCTTTTGTCTTTTGTCGGTTCGTCTTGTCTACACACCAAGTCCATGTCTGACATGGGGACACATGTTGATGTAGAAGAGACATGAAGAAGAGGGGACACATGTTGATGTAGAAGAGACATGAAGAAGAGGGGACACATGTTGATGTAGAAGAGACATGGAGAAGAGGGGACACGTGTTGATGTAGAAGAGACATGAAGAAGAGGGGACACGTGTTGATGTAGAAGAGACATGAAGAAGAGGGGACACATGTTGATGTAGAAGAGACATGAAGAAGAGGGGACACATGTTGATGAAGAAGAGACATGAAGAAGAGGGGACACATGTTGATGTAGAAGAGACATGGAGAAGAGGGGACACGTGTTGATGTAGAAGAGACATGAAGAAGAGGGGACACATGTTGATGAAGAAGAGACATGAAGAAGAGAGGACACATGTTGATGAAGAAGAGACATGAAGTAGAGGGGACACGTGTTGATGTAGAAGAGACATGAAGAAGAGGAGACACGTGTTGATGTAGAAGAGACATGAAGAAGAGGGGACACGTGTTGATGTAGAAGAGACATGAAGAAGAGGGGACACATGTTGATGTAGAAGAGACATGAAGAAGAGGGGACACATGTTGATGTAGAAGAGACATGGAGAAGAGGGGACACATGTTGATGTAGAAGAGACATGAAGAAGAGGGGACACATGTTGATGTAGAAGAGACATGAAGAAGAGGGGACACATGTTGATGTAGAAGAGACATGAAGAAGAGGGGACACATGTTGATGTAGAAGAGACATGAAGAAGAGGGGACACATGTTGATGTAGAAGAGACATGAAGAAGAGGGGACACATGTTGATGTAGAAGAGACATGAAGAAGAGGGGACACATGTTGATGTAGAAAGAGACATGAAGAAGAGGGGACACATGTTGATGAAGAAGAGACATGAAGAAGAGTGGACACATGTTGATGTAGAAGAGACTGAAGAAGAGGGGACACATGTTGATGTAGAAGAGACATGAAGAAGAGGGGACACATGTTGATGTAGAAGAGACATGAAGAAGAGGGGACACATGTTGATGAAGAAGAGACATGAAGAAGAGGGGACACATGTTATGAAGAAGAGACATGAAGAAGAGGGGACACATGTTGATGTAGAGGAGACATGAAGAAGAGGGGACACATGTTGATGAAGAAGAGACATGAAGAAGAGGGGACACATGTTGATGTAGAAGAGACATGAAGAAGAGGGGACACATGTTGATGTAGAAGAGACATGAAGAAGAGGGGACACATGTCCTCACCCCTGCGCTGGAGGTGAGGGCGGTGTAGATGGAGTTGAGCAGGATGTGTGTGAGCAGCGGAGCGATGTAGCTGAGCGGCTGCTCTGCGCTGGGCGAGATGATGACGGTGTTGCAGCCTCGAGCCACAGAGGGCCAGCTGTAGCGCTCAGCTGGAGTCAAAACGCTGCACTGCCTCTTCTTCAAAACCTGCAAACACAACGCCGTCATTTGTGAAACTCTGAAGGAGCTTAGACATCCAACTGTCCACCACTTACACTTAGTGGTTACACCACTTACATCCTATTATACTATTCGTAGTAGGGATGCACGATAATTATCGGTCCGATATTAGGAATTATGACGTCATCCCGATTAACCCGATACCAGTATTAATAGCCCCGATAATATACAATATATTGATACTGCGGTGTGGGTGGATTGGGATGAGGGGCGCTTGTTTTTCACTCGGCTCCTCCCGTTTGGCCAGTACTGTGGTATTAGTGGTTTAGGAAGAGGGGAGTTCTTCACAAATCCAGCGCTCCCTAACTCATGCCTGGCTGTGACGTAAATGGTGTGCGGACGTGAAGCCAGGACAGTAAACAAACATGTCGTCGGTGGTATGGGCGTTGGAGCTATGTGCAACTCAAGGCATATGCTCGAACCGGAGCTGCCTGGACGCTGCAATCATGTTGCGTACTATCCGTGCTGAGTGTGCTGACTTTTCGTACAATGTCCCGCTGTCTGGCTTCCTGCATAAAGTCAAGTGCTCGGCGCAGTTGTGGCGAAATGTCGCTCCTCTGTTTTCATTTAAACATCTCCTTATATCCGTTAGCGCAGCTAGCTAGCACCAGATGCTAACAACAACAATGCACGTAAGGTCTCTCTCTCGCTCGGGCCACACATACACACACCCTCCCGGTCCTCCAGATGGCCAGTCCGTGCCTTTATATATACAGTCTATGGTCGGTGCCTGCCGGTGAGCGTGGAAGTGTGGTCTGCCACAAGCAGGCAGCAGGAGCGGGGCTGTCAGCATCAGCTCGTAGATGGCATTTTAAACTCGATGCGCTCTGAAACTACGGGGCGGCCAAGGAAAAAAAATACACATGCGTTAATCGCGTTAAAATAATTAGTGGCGTAAAAAAAATTTGTATTATCGGTATCGGTCTTGAGAAGCAGGAAGTTATCGGTATCGGTTTCAAAAAACCAATATCGTGCATCCCTAATTCGTAGGCATATATTATAGGTCTCAGATATAAATACAAAGCATGTCTATGACGTGTTTTGCTCAAAATCCCAAACAGATCAGCCATTCTAGCCTCATGCCCCTCTGCTTCAGCCCTGTTACTAAAGCGCTGATTCTGGGTCAGTAGCTTTAAAAAAATAATAATAATGAATGCAGGAGGATTTTCCCCAGAGTCTCAGCTAAACGCTGCCGTGATTAAACGCCATATCATTACATTACTTGTTAGTAGGGATTATTCGTTACAGTCTCCATAATCGAAAATTATTTTGAAAATTCGATTTTATTTATATATATTTTTATTATTATTTATGTTTTTTTCTGGCTTAGTTTCAACCAAAATATAGACTAATGCTAATAATAGTAATAATAATTGTAAATGGCCATTGGTCACACCACCAGTTTGTTTTACTGTAAACTTGGAGGAAGCCAGCTGCTGCACACCGCCCCCCCCCCCTCTCCGTCACACGTGCGATTGATTTATTGGAGTGAGAGAACACAACTAAAGATGAACAAAGGAAAGAAGAGTTCTTCTGTGGTACTTCGTGACCACAGAGTGTGAACGTTGTGATCAGCTGTTTTAGCGCAGTTCTCCAGTGAAGGGGGAGAGTCTCCCTCCGCAGCCGGTTGGCGTAGTTTTGGCACAATTCCGTTGTACAGACCGACGTTAACAGCAGCCCTTTTTTTTTCTCCCGAGGGGCGGGGCGTCGAATAATCGATTATCATTTGCCAGGGCTGTCCGATGGTCAGTTTCTGGCATCCCTACTTGTTGGACGCTTTTATCCAAAGCGACTTACACACACTGTGGGCAAAACCCCACAGGAGCAGTTTGGGGTGAAGTGTCTCAGGGACACAATGACATGCTGACTGCAGTGGGGTTTGAACCTGTGACCCCCTGATCCCAACACCAACGCACTAGTCCACTGCGCCACACGTCTCCCTATATCCCTATATCATGTTCCAAACCACATCAAGGATTCTCTCTGAAACAGTCTGGAGCTCAAAGGCTTTCTTTCTTGCCGGTTATACCACAAGGTGAGTTCCTTTTTATTTCCTGCTTCTTCACACACATGCTCTCCAGTACAGGTTAGCTCTGAGTGTTAGCGATGCTAATGTAAACACCGACCATATTACGTCCAAAACAGTCGCTCATTGTTTCTGATAGCAACGTTTCTGATTGGGCCGTGGGTCCACATTTCAGATGTTACGTCATATCGGACGCAAATCTGGATCAGCTCCGTTGTTCCCCCGTTTTTAGAGATGTGGGAACCACCTTGTGGTACAAAAGTGCATTTTGCATGACAGAACACCTTTAACCAGTTAAGCCCGAAGGTCCCCCCAGTGGACCCCTCCCACAGTTTTTTTTTTCTCACATGTCTCAGGGCTTCTTAACATTTATGAAACTATTAATGTTTCATACCCTTTTAAAGGTAAGAAACTCCGCTAACTGACAATAAGAACAATTGTTAGCTAAAAAAACCACAAGAGTAATACCAAGCCTTTGAATTAGCATTGAGCGAAAAAATGCTAACTAATGCTAACGCTTTTTTACACACAACACACGGTAGAAATGCCCTTATTACTATCTTAACTGCACAAGCAAGATATACGATTTAAAGCTGAGACTCCACAGATTCCACACATGTAATGTCATCACTGTCCGACCTCGAATTCCTGGAGCTATCAGCCAGAAAAGAGAAAGTAAACAACATCCGGTTTCAAAAATATTACAATAATTACGTCTTACCTTTTTTGATTTGTGATCAAAAGTTGTGTTCAACGGAATAAAAACGTATCTCAAGATTAATCCAATGTCTTTGTGTCACGTAGAATTTTTTACTGATAATCAATCATCATATTTATGGCAATATACTCGGTATAAAGTATTGCCGTCCAGGCTTGCACTTTCAGATATGCTTCGTTTGCTTCTCTATTACGTCCGCTATGGTCATGTTTACGTAGATTTGGGAAATGCCCATCGATTCTATTGGTTCTGATGGTTAAGAAAAAGGTGTAAATCACACGAATCGACCAATGGGTTCCAGAGATATGGTCCTGCGTAAAGTATAAAGAATGCCAGCCAGCGTAACAACATTACGCAGCCGACTTCATTTATTGTTTACAGCGTAAAGAAGCAGGAAATGCAGCAGGACCCAGAGCGCACGGAGCACAGAGCGGACAGCAGATAACGGAATTGCAGTTTTATTGCTTATAGATTATCAGAACATTTCAAAGGGGACACAGCCCCATTGGATATTAATCTATGGATTAACTACATCATCGTTTTTATCGTTTTAATGCCATTGAAGACCAGTTTAGACCAGACAACGAGGAAGGCAAGTCATTGTTAGCCTAGCGCATTAGCGCTAGCGCCATTTGTTTTGATGTACGTTTTTGTTGATAACGTCGCGAGTTTGTATCTTTCAGTGTTGGGCTGTTCAGGTGGGCACCGTTAGATTCTGTGTCTTTACGATCATAAACGATGTGTTGGATGTGCAGCTAGGATAAGTAATAAGGGAGCGAGGAGTGATTTTCGGTGCTGTAATAGGTTAGCATGTTTCGCTCGGGGCTAATTCAGAGGCTCACTGAAAGAGTAGGCTTTTTCACAACAGTTGTATTTGGATGGAATGAATACCTATAGTGATAATTCAAAGTAATAAAATGATTTTTACAGTGAAAAAGTTCAAATGGAACCGATGGTTCCCAAATTACCCAGAGGTGAGTCCGCTTAGACTTTATTTTTCTAAATCTCTCTAAAAAGGTCAATTCTCACTTGTTTTGCCTCAATCTTGATACAGGGTACTTATTATATGTTATAGTTTGGATTCCTAAAGCTTTTAGTCTAGTAACCCATCATGCAAGGGTGGTTTTCACTATAAGTAAAGGTTTTTTTTTAGGTGGACATTAGAATTTACATGTTTTTACTATATTCCATCTGAATTTACTTTAAAATAAAAACATCTATATTGATTCTGACACTTCTACATCCAACTCACAGATGTAACCTTGCTTTGAGAAAAATAATTATTAATTTACCCCTTTTAGAAGTGAAGATATATCATTTGTTGTGTTAGTGGCATTTTTGAGCCTGAAACCTGAAAAACAGGCTCAGGGCTTAACTGGTTAAAGCCCATATGTGTTGAATGGCGCCGTGTATCAGTGATTACATTGACTTGAGACCAACGCAGGACCCTAAGCTCTTCTCCCCAATTATCAAATTACATTTTTCGTGCTTTTTCTAGCATTTGGACTATCTGTGTTATATGTAAGTACAAACAGCCTGAAACTAAAGTAAGAGCACGTTATATTTTACCCAGCGGAGAGAGTCTGTGATGGGGGCGTCGTCCAGGCTGCTGCAGGGCTCCACTGGGAGGAAGGAGTGCACCAGGATCCCACTCCTCCTGGGATCACTGGGAACAAACTGAGGACAAGGAGAAATATAGGAGACGTAAATATGGTTGTTTTCTGTTGGGAAAACACTGAATGTCCTCTTCCAGTATGAGAGTACACAGTCACAAGATGGAGGAACAGAAAGCAGTATTCAATGTTTACTTCAGATTAGCTCCACGTCAGAAATGAGCATGCTTGATGTCTCTCTCCATAGAGGCTGAATCATCATGTTAATCACATAGCTATCATATGCCTCAAACAGTCCTGATGCTCTTCTAGGTAATCACACATCCTGTCATGTTCACAGCTACAGTTGGGATACCTTTGTTAGCATGCTACTCTCAGATCGGAAGAGGACATTCAGTGTTATTCCAACACTAAACCATTTGGTACTTTATGTTTAATTTATAATATTTTGATAAAACGACTCACCGCGTCGTGTGCCGTCTCAAAGTCAGGGTTCACAGGCTCAGGGTTCAACCACTCCAAAAGGCTGCATCAAACACAACAGTCAGAATGAGGAAACTTGGATATTAATGTAAAAAAAACAACAAATTAACATGTCTACCTCCGAAGATGCAGAAGCAAACTCACCAGACATGTTTTGCCTTGGATGACATTCAACAGTTTCTCTTTTCACAATCATTCTACTTTTTCAATTAAGGATCGCAGATACAAAGATAAGGGATTGCAATTCATTTCCACACAAAAAACAGTTCTAAATAAATGTTCATAATCCTGGTGTTCTGCCACGATAACTATCACAGTTTATGAAAGACAAGTAAGCTTAAGTGTCTCAACACTGAATAAAGTAGTTTTTTTAGTAGTAGCAGTTCGGCGCTGCTAACCGAGCTAGCTCAGCTTGTTGCTCTGATAACTTAACCAGTTTAGCCCTGAGCCTGTTTTTCAGGTCTCAGGCTCGAAAATGACATTCCCAGAAGAAATGACCATATCTTCCCTTCTAAAAGGGTTACATTAATAATCTTTTTTCTCAAAGTAATGATAAACCTGTGAGTTGGATGTAGAAGAGTCAGAATCAATATAGATGTTTTTTATTTTAAAGAACATTCAGATTGAACATAGTAAAAAACTGTAAATTATTGTGTCCGTCCAAAAATGTATACTTATAGTGAAAACTACCCTTGGATGAAGGTAAGGTAGACTAAAAGCTTTAGGAATCCAAAGTACAACATATAATAAGTACCCTGTATCAAGGTTGATGCAAAACAAGTGACATTTAACTTTTTAGAGAGGTTTAGAAAAACAAACTCCACTTCTGAGGTGATTTGGGTGGAAATCGGGGTTTGACCGTTTCTCTGAAACCCATTGGTCGATTTTGGTGATTGACATCTCTTTCTGACCGTTAGAGCCAATAGAATCGAAGGGGAATCTCCACATACACACATGGTAAAAAAAAAGGTGGGGGCTTTGCGCATGCAGGTTTGCATCAGAGTGAACCTATCTCTAGCATCTGAACACGGAAAAGCAGGTTTATTGCTTATGGATTATCAGAAATCATTTCAAAGTGACACAGACACATTGGATTAACCTATGGATTAACTTCAGCAGCGTTTTTATCGTTTTACTGCCATTGAAGACAATTTGTGATCAGACAACGACCAAGGTAGGCCATGTTAGCGGTTTTAGCTACCTAGCGCCACATGTTTTGATGTCTGTTCTTGTTCATAGCTTTGCAAGTTCTTATCATGGAGTGATGATGTAGGTACCGATCGATTCTGTATCATCTCACGATCAGATCGATGGGTTGGACGTGCAGCTACGATAAGTAATAAGGGTGTGATGAGTGAGTTTCTGTGCAACACCCCATTTTTCGCTCGTGGCTAATTCATAGGCTCAGCGCTAGCTTTGTGGGTTAAAAAAAAAAAAAAAAAAGGATCAGTTAGCTGAGTTTCTTTGGATATAAAACATTCATAGTTTATTGAATATTAAGAAGCCCTCAGACGCTGTTTCCTGCAGATGACGCGTTTCCCCGGTACCGGGGATGCGGTGTAGAAGAGGTTAAGATCCAGACGTCCGTGACTAAAATCCGGTTAAATATAGTTAAAAAAATACCAAATGTCTTGCATTAAAGTTCAAGAAAGGATGGTTTGCGGACAAAATAAAAATTCCTGTATTTTTTTATATCGCAGGGGAAGAAAATATCGCAACGTCAGTGTTTTCCAATATCGAGCAGCCCTCGTTTGTCTTATTAGGAATAACATTTGAACATGAGTGTCTGTGCAAACATCTTTGCCTCATTACTCAGCATGTATGTTTGTTTGTTTCCTCAGCTCACCGCGAACAAGCCCAGTCCGTTTCACTCTTCCACCTTTTCTCCTCCGATCTACTCCACCTGCTGAAACAAACAATGAAAACAACAGCGCAGACACACAAATGTACTTTCCACCTGTGTGTCTGTGTGAGATAGCGTGTGTGTGTGTGTGTGTGTGTGTGTGTGTGTGTGTGTGTGTGTGTGTGTGTGTGTGTGTGAGAGAGTGTGAGTTTTTTAATTTTTTTAGACCAAAGTTGTTATAAACGTATAATATAATACAACTTGTTTTCTCTTAAAGGTCAGTGTGTGTGTGTGTGTGTGTGTGTGTGTGTGTGTGTGTGTGTGTGATTTATCTAGATTACATTGACGCTGCAGTGTTACGTAGACATGGGTTAAATGTTGGGAATAAGTACAGATCATTTATTCCTTTTACCTTGTTCCTTCGTCTTCAATACGTTCAACTTGACTGCTCTCACAAAGACCTTCAGCTCCACTTTTCTCACTAATAAAATACAAATCAAGACAAGTTAATAACATCTGATCTTGATATTTACAGCTCAATTAACTGGGATTTACATTTTAAAGTGCATCAGTCTCACCTCATGCTGGTCAATGTGTGCTTGTGCAGAGTCTCAGGCTCACAGTTTGAAGGGGTTAATCTGTGGGACAAAATACAATATCTCCTTCTTACTGTGGGCGTGCGCCATCAAACCAAAATGCAGATTATCCCCGTAAAATGTTAAAGTGAGGCCGGAAAACAATCTCTCCGTTCCTCAAAAACTGTATAATTACTCCAGAAATACGAGTATCGAGCAGAGCGTCAGACGGCAGAGACAGCTTTGTTTTTACGGAGCTCCGACGTCACGTTGTTGTTGTGCCATCTTGTTTACGGGCGCCATGTTATTGTGAGAATTTATATATCTTATAAACAAGATCAGCGCCACAAGTCCCAAGTCACTGTGGTGAGAATCACGAAATGCTGATGATTCTCTCTCTCTCTCTCTCTCTCTCTCTGTCCGTATGAGCCATTTGTAAATTAGAGTAATTACTAAAGTGCAGGTAGCTTACACTTCCTTTTCTGTGCTGGAAGCTGCAGTCGTCTCTTCAGGTCGAGTTTCTTTTTGCTCTTCATGCTCACTCACCTGGGGAAAAACAAACACAGAAACTTCTGGATCTACACTTTTTGTTCAGGAATTACTTCCCAAATTGAACAGGTGAAAAAACAACAAGCAACCTGACAGCTAGGGGTGGGGGAAATAATCGATAGGTCATTAGTGTTAATTTCGTTGACTAAATCTATGACGAAATATCTTCGTCAACGATCTTTTTTTCCATGACGAAAACGAGACGATGACGAGACGGCACCGACGGCAGTAAACAATAACTGCAACGAAATCATCATGCAATATCGTTGACGAAAAGTGACGAGACGAAAATGTAGTTCACTAAATAAAAACTATGCCAAAATCTCTCTTTACTTTCGTTGACGAAAAATGAGGAGACGAAATATTATCAAAGATAACGTTACATTTCTGATAGTCAGTTTTTCTCCCAGCAGTTCCATTTCCGGTGCTGCGGCTGGGCAGCAGCTGTGTGTCCGTGCTGCGGCTGGGCAGCAGCTGTGTGTCCGTGCTGCGCGCGGCGGTAGATTTGAATTACACCGGGCAGCGGCACACTGTGAACTGTCAGGAAGACTCGGGTCTAACTCGTGGTCTAACTAACCTTATTTAACAGAAAATGAAATGGCAACAGGGCTTGGGAGCAGTGGTCGCACTCGCGTTAACCGAATACCCCCCGTCAGCGCGAGTGAGTGATAAATTGTGCACTCGACGGATAATAATGGATTATGACGGAAATGTTACGATCCGTCAAAATGACTGACAATGAAAAAGTCTAAAGCCACCACTGCTTGGGAGAAAGAAACGATGTGATATTTGGGCCCATTTTCGCTACAATGAGGCGGAGAAAAAAAGCGAATGCATTGTTTCATCAGAAGGGAAGCAATGTGGCCAAAACACAGCTGGTACAAACACCACAAACCTGAGTAGATACTCTGCAAAGCTTCTCAATCATTCAACCTGAGTTTCATCAAATAAGGACAAGATATAATCTTATTTATTTATATATACTAAAATGACAAATTATTGGTTTTGGCTAGACTAGTTTGACTGAAATGTTCTATATAATCTGATGACTAAAAAATACTCAACAGTTTTTATTGACAAAAAGTAGACTAAAATAATTAGTTTTCTTTGACTAAAATAAGACTAAAATGCTCAGACTTTTAGTCGACTAAAACTTGACTAAATAAAAACAGGATGAAGGTGACTAAATATGACTAAAACTAAAAAGGAAATTTAACACAGGACTAAGACTAAAACTAAATTAAAAAATAGCTGACGAAATTAACACTATAGGGCATAGTATCGCAAATACACAGACGCCAAGTATCGATATTTTATTATATAAACCATTCATATTGCAAATCCAAAACGTTTTTGGTAACAATTGCTTTTTCAATCCACTAGATGGTGCGGAGCTTTTTCTTGTGCGGTCATGGGTAAAGTCAGCGGGATTGGCAGGAAGTTAGTTTAAACAAAGATTTAAAAATATATATATATATATATATATATATATATCGTATATATCGTATATATCGTAATACTTAGCATATCGTAGAATCGCGATAGTATCGTATCGTGGGGACAACCACATTTGTTTGCACTCCATTACAGTACAAGTACATTTTAAACGAACAACACCACCACAGGCCTCCAGGAGTTTAGACCCCTGTGGATATATCTCACCACAAAGGGGGCAAAACTTGCTTTCTTGTCCATGTTCAATACATGACCATTAGCTGGCTGGTGAGTGATATAATAGCTACTTGCTTGTTGAACCAGTATGTTGCTGCTAAACGGTGCTAACTGTATCCCATCCTCACAGCCGAGTGAAGTTGTCCAATCTATTAGAAAACTGCAGAAAACCATCAGGGCTACAATTATCCAATTTCAACAGAAAATTGGAGTCTGGTGGCTTTGAAGATACTACAGATTGCAGCTTCAGTATCTCTGTCACAAAAGGCTGTCTGATAGCAAGGTGTTACGGCTGCTGCCTTCCGGGTCGTCTTTATTGTATTAATCCAGTGGTATGTAAATGAGCAGTGCGATTGCCCTGACGTCATTGGCTGCCATCTCCTGGTCCGCCCCCTGGGGATTGTGATTGGAGCATGCCGGGCCCGACGCACTCCAATCGCAGCGCACAGCCAGCCACCTGCTGGAGATGACTTCAAAGCCTGGGGACAACCATCACTCTGGAGGCTCTGTGTTGTGGGACAGACGCCTCTAGCCTCTTGTTGCGATTACTCGTGTTGCTTGATAACTCAGTGAATCCTCTGTTCAGTTATACTGCTTAGCAGCGTGTTGAAGTAGTGTTCTGTGTTTAGCGTAGTATGTGTGTGTAAAGAAGATCCTGGTTAGCTTAGCGGCTAGCGCCTGTTGATCAGTAGCAGCTGTGTTGTGTTACAGCTTTTTCAGTTTCCTGTACCACGTTCCAGTGAGGTTTTTGTTTCTCTTTTGGGTACTAATTATTACTGTGTATACTCTGACAAACTCCCTTTGAGTCTCTTTCTGTTGGTTGTTGTCAACTGATATTTTGGTCCTTTGTTTATGCCAGGCTGCACGCCTTTATCATTTTGTCACCATTACTGGACTATAATAAATCCCTATAACTATTACCAATTCCAACTGGTGTGTTTTGCACTTGCTCATCCCTAGTGGGGACGTAACACAAGGTAAAGAGGTACAAATATTCTAAATATAGCCCATACTTAAACGTAAAAAAAGTACATCCCACGCTTAAATGATTACGCTGTGGTTTTTCAAATTGGGTGTTGAAGCCATTTATATTTATAATGAAATATCATGAATATATGATGTTTTATCATTTATATTTATTATTGTTTTGATTGGTGACGTCACAGGCGTGTTTTTTTTTTGGCTTACAAAAAATGTTTTTAAGAGTTTTGTTTAGTATTTTGTCAGTTTTTCATTAAATAAACGGCGATATCTGATCATTAATCTGGATGAGCGTTGATTTTTCTGATAACATTGAGTCAGGCCAAACGTTGTAGCTGTAACGGTGGTGACTCATCAGAACAGAGTGGGCGAGCTGACCAATCAGAGCACAGTAGGCTCACGGGGGGGGGGCAGGAGCTCCAACCAGCCGTGTAGGACAGAGTGAATACACAGACTATCAGAGATGCTGTTTGAGAAACCAATGTGAGTTTGGAACATTGAGAATCTATTCTAGTCGACCTCAACGATGGAGTTATGATCAGTAGAAATGGCCATGCTGTGGGAGCTTTAAACCTTTAAACTTCCATTGGGATGTTTTGACAGTTCCTGTTGAGTTATCAGTCGGTGCTGGTCTAAAAGGAGAACCAATGACTTAAATTCGGTGTTTCCCCTATATACAGATAGTGGCAGCGCAGCGCCGCTGCTGAAATATGCACGCCGCTGCTAGCGGGCGCCAGCCTGTAAGATGGTACTTCTTACAACAACAAAAATCCAAACTATCCCCTTCAAAGCTGGGCTCCAACACTTCCTGTGTGCGATGTGTACTCACAGTGGGAGACGCCTGCTGGAAGATGCTGCCAGGATTCAGAAACTTTAGGAACCTGTTGGGTAGAGGAAGTGTTCGGTCAGTATCAAACAGTGATAATAAAACAGATATGGAAGGCGTAGTATAGTGTGTGGGGCTATTCTCACCTGAACAGACTGAGATCTTTGGTCAGAGCTGCAGCCAGAGACGAGTCTGTGTCCTCCGACGAGTCACTGAACAGGAGAGACGCTCAGTTAACGATTTCAAGATATAAATGAAACTTCCTCTGCAGGGAACACAGGGATTTGCAGACCATTTACATGCACTAAAATCTATAGAACACACTACGTACACTATGAAGTGTCCCTACTTTAAAGAGTCCTCTCCTGCTGGTGTTCAGGTGTATATCAGTATGTAGTGTCTCTACTTTAAAGAGTCCTCTCCTGCTGATGTTCAGGTGTATATCAGTATGTAGTGTCTCTACTTTAAAGAGTCCTCTCCTGCTGATGTTCAGGTGTATATCAGTATGTAGTGTCTACTTTAAAGAGTCCTCTCCTGCTGATGTTCAGGTGTATATCAGTATGTAGTGTCTCTACTTTAAAGAGTCCTCTCCTGCTGATGTTCAGGTGTATATCAGTATGTAGTGTCTCTACTTTAAAGAGTCCTCTCCTGCTGATGTTCAGGTGTGTATCAGTATGTAGTGTCCTCTACTTTAAAGAGTCCTCTCCTGCTGATGTTCAGGTGTATATCAGTATGTAGTGTCTCTACTTTAAAGAGTCCTCTCCTGCTGATGTTCAGGTGTATATCAGTATGTAGTGTCTCTACTTTAAAGAGTCCTCTCCTGCTGATGTTCAGGTGTATATCAGTATGTAGTGTCTCTACTTTAAAGAGTCCTCTCCTGCTGATGTTCAGGTGTATATCAGTATGTCGTGTCTCTACTTTAAAGAGTCCTCTCCTGCTGATGTTCAGGTGTGTATCAGTATGTCGTGTCTCTACTTTAAAGAGTCCTCTCCTGCTGATGTTCAGGTGTATATCAGTATGTAGTGTCTCTACTTTAAAGAGTCCTCTCCTGCTGATGTTCAGGTGTATATCAGTATGTCGTGTCTCTACTTTAAAGAGTCCTCTCCTGCTGATGTTCAGGTGTATATCAGCATGTAGTGTCTCTACTTTAAAGAGTCCCCTCCTGCTGGTGTATATCAGTATGTCGTGTCTCTACTTTAAAGAGTCCTCTCCTGCTGATGTTCAGGTGTATATCAGCATGTAGTGTCTCTACTTTAAAGAGTCCCCTCCTGCTGGTGTATATCAGTATGTAGTGTATCTACTTGAAAGAGTCCTCTCCTGCTGGTGTTCAGGTGTATATCAGTATGTAGTGTCTCTACTTTAAAGAGTCCTCTCCTGCTGATGTTCAGGTGTATATCAGTATGTAGTGTCTCTACTTTAAAGAGTCCTCTCCTGCTGATGTTCAGGTGTATATCAGTATGTAGTGTCTCTACTTTAAAGAGTCCTCTCCTGCTGATGTTCAGGTGTATATCAGTATGTAGTGTCTCTACTTTAAAGAGTCCTCTCCTGCTGATGTTCAGGTGTATATCAGTATGTAGTGTCTCTACTTTAAAGAGTCCTCTCCTGCTGATGTTCAGGTGTATATCAGTATGTAGTGTCTCTACTTTAAAGAGTCCTCTCCAGCTGAACTGAACTAAATGAGTGCTCACCTCTCTGCAGGAGCAGCAGCAGCGTCCGGACCTTTCTCTGACAGATGTTCCTCTGTGACCTTTGACCCGCTGCCTTCTTCACGGGGCTGCAGCTCATGTTGTTGGCTCTGAAGCCGCAGCGAGGTCAGCGGTGAGGATGCGTGGCTGTTATCCAGAGGACTGGCGGAAACACCGTGAGCAGAGCTGCTGACCTGAGGCGCAGTCAGACCTGAAGAAATAGCTGAAAAAATAAGCATCAGATCAGAGTTTATATAGGTGTATATATGTGTGTGTGTGTTTACCAGCAGGAGACTGGGTGAGTGTGTGTGTGTGTGTGTGTGTGTGTGTGTGTGTACACCAATAGGAGACTAGGGGTGTGTGTTTACCAGTAGGAGACTAGGGGTGTGTGTGTGTGTGTGTGTGTGTGTGTGTGTGTACCAATAGGAGACTAGGGGGTGTGTGTGTTTACCAGTAGGAGACTAGGGGTGTGTGTGTGTGTGTGTGTGTGTGTGTGTGTGTGTGTGTGTGTGTGTGTGTGTACCAATAGGAGACTCGGGGCGTGTGTGTGTGTGTGTGTGTTTACCAATAGGAGACTTAGGCTTGCTTGAGGCAGTCTGGGTCAAGATGCTGGAGGACAACATGACAGGAAGCTGGTCCTCCTCGTCCATCTCTCTGCGGTCAGCTGACTCTCGGCTGTAATACGCAAACTTCTTGGCCACCAGATCGTCGTTCAAACAGATCTGGAAAGAAACCGCCAAAATCCGGGTGTTTATTCTCCATAACTAAAACATGCAAGCTGTGATAACAAATCGCACAAGGAAATATTAGTGAAAACAGACTAAATGATATATAAGAACTGTCAAACATAGCCAGGAATCAGGATGTACTTCCTGTTCCCTGAATTGAAAAACGGCGGTTGCTAACAAGTGTCTAAATGAGACGTCTTCACGCCCAACATTAGCCACCTTTAGCTTAGCGGTGGTGACGTGAAGTCATGTAACCGTGCTGTAGTTCCTTTATAGCTCAACATTAGCCACCTTTAGCTTCGTGGTGGTGACGTGAAGTCATGTGACCGTGCTGTAGTTCCTTTATAGCCCAACATTAGCCGCCTTTAGCTTAGCGGTGGAGACGTGAAGTCATGTGACCGTGCTGTAGTTCCTTTATAGCCCAACATTAGCCGCCTTTAGCTTAGCGGTGGTGACGTGAAGTCATGTGACCGTGATGTAGTTCCTTTATAGCCCAACATTAGCCACCTTTAGCTTAGCGGTGGTGACGTGAAGTCACGTGACCGTGCTGTAGTTCCTTTATAGCCCAACTTTAGCCACCTTTAGCTTCGTGGTGGTGACGTGAAGTCATGTGACCGTGCTGTAGTTCATTTATAGCCCAACATTAGCCACCTTTAGCTTAGCGGTGGTGACGTGAAGTCACGTGACCGTGCTGTAGTTCCTTTATAGCCCAACTTTAGCTTAGCGGTGGTGACGTGAAGTCACGTGACCGTGCTGTAGTTCCTTTATAGCCCAACTTTAGCCACCTTTAGCTTCGTGGTGGTGACGTGAAGTCATGTGACCGTGCTGTAGTTCCTTTATAGCCCAACTTTAGCCACCTTTAGCTTCGTGGTGGTGACGTGAAGTCATGTGACCTTGCTGTAGTTCCTTTATAGCCCAACATTAGCCGCCTTTAGCTTAGCGGTGGTGACGTGAAGTCATGTGACCGTGATGTAGTTCCTTTATAGCCCAACATTAGCCACCTTTAGCTTAGCGGTGGTGACGTGAAGTCACGTGACCGTGCTGTAGTTCCTTTATAGCCCAACATTAGCCACCTTTAGCTTCGTGGTGGTGACGTGAAGTCATGTGACCGTGCTGTAGTTCATTTATAGCCCAACATTAGCCACCTTTAGCTTAGCGGTGGTGACGTGAAGTCACGTGACCGTGCTGTAGTTCCTTTATAGCCCAACTTTAGCCACCTTTAGCTTAGCGGTGGTGACGTGAAGTCACGTGACCGTGCTGTAGTTCCTTTATAGCCCAACTTTAGCCACCTTTAGCTTCGTGGTGGTGACGTGAAGTCATGTGACCGTGCTGTAGTTCCTTTATAGCCCAACTTTAGCCACCTTTAGCTTCGTGGTGGTGACGTGAAGTCATGTGACCGTGCTGTAGTTCCTTTATAGCCCAACATTAGCCGCCTTTAGCTTAGCGGTGGTGACGTGAAGTCATGTGACCGTGATGTAGTTTCTTTATAGCCCAACATTAGCCACCTTTAGCTTAGCGGTGGTGACGTGAAGTCACGTGACCGTGCTGTAGTTCCTTTATAGCCCAACTTTAGCCACCTTTAGCTTCGTGGTGGTGACGTGAAGTCATGTGACCGTGCTGTAGTTTCCTTTATAGCCCAACTTTAGCCACCTTTAGCTTCGTGGTGGTGACGTGAAGTCATGTGACCGTGCTGTAGTTCATTTATAGCCCAACATTAGCCACCTTTAGCTTAGCGGTGGTGACGTGAAGTCACGTGACCGTGCTGTAGTTCCTTTATAGCCCAACATTAGCCACCTTTAGCTTAGCGGTGGTGACGTGAAGTCACGTGACCGTGCTGTAGTTCCTTTATAGCCCAACTTTAGCCACCTTTAGCTTAGCGGTGGTGACGTGAAGTCACGTGACCGTGCTGTAGTTCCTTTATAGCCCAACATTAGCCACCTTTAGCTTAGCGGTGGTGACGTGAAGTCACGTGACCGTGCTGTAGTTCCTTTATAGCCCAACTTTAGCCACCTTTAGCTTCGTGGTGGTGACGTGAAGTCATGTGACCGTGTAACCCAATTTTCTGCAATATTAAAAATAACGGAGAAATCCCATTGCTTTTTTTCAAAGACATCCGGGAGAATTTTAGGATTGGCCTACAAAAATACGTCATCCCTACACCACTTTATTTCTGTATAAAGCCCTCGATTAAAACATCATTTTAACGTTTGAGGCTCTTTTTCTGAATAAGCATGACTTGCATAACCCTACACAGAATAATGAAGTCACCTTGATGCTTCCTACAGTCAGGTAGAGCTCTATGGAGGTGGAGTCGGCCTCGGATTCAAGCAACACGGCCTCAGTCCGAGTGGAAGCTGATGAAAAGGAACATTTTAAAAAGACAGGGAGGTAATCTGACATAAGTCTTATCAAACAGCAATTAAGGACACATCAAATATAACTTTTAAAATGTACAGAAGAACTGTTTTCCCCCCGATCTATTTGCAATGTTGCTCACCTTGCAGCAGGCTGTGCATGTAGAGAGTAGAAGAGCTGTCCCACCGAGTGGATGCACTGCAGCGAAAAAGAACATCAAGCTGAAAGTGGGTTTTATAGCAAAGTACTAATATCTGGACACGTCATAGAGATAAAAGCTGTTCTTTTTTACTATACAGTTCTGTAGCGATATGCCTGGTTGGCTTTCAAATAAAATGTTATTCATATTGTCCAATATCCAAAATGACATATTCGTCTCAGCTATTAAAGTAATGGTCAACAAGACAGACATTGACAAACTCACCGTCTCTTCCACAGAGAAATAAATGACAATATAACAAACACTGAACCATCGCAAACTCTGAATAATGTGATTAATATCTCATCAAAATCCACTCTTGTGAGTAGCTTCATGGCTCCGACATATTCTAAGAACTGTGGGAAACCAGAGGTGGGAAGTAGTGGAGTACAAATACTTCGCTACTATACTTAAGTACATTTTTTGTTATCAGTACTTTACTCCACTACTTATTTCTGACGACTTCTTTCTTTCTACTTCTTACATGTTGAACTCAAATACCTGTACTTTCTACTTCTTTCATGTTGAACTCAAATACCTGTACTTTCTACTTCTTTCATGTTGAACTCAAATACCTGTACTTTCTACTTCTTACATGTTGAACTCAAATACCTGTACTTTCTACTTCTTACATGTTGAACACAAATACCTGTACTTTCTACTTCTTACATGTTGAACTCAAATACCTGTACTTTCTACTTCTTACATGTTGAACACAAATACCTGTACTTTCTACTTCTTACATGTTGAACACAAATACCTGTACTTTCTACTTCTTACATGTTGAACCCAAATACCTGTACTTTCTACTTCTTACATGTTGAACTCAAATACCTGTACTTTCTACTTCTCACATGTTGAACTCAAATACCTGTACTTTCTACTTCTTACATGTTGAACCCAAATACCTGTACTTTCTACTTCTTACATGTTGAACCCAAATACCTGTACTTTCTACTTCTTACATGTTGAACCCAAATACCTGTACTTTCTACTTCTCACATGTTGAACACAAATACCTGTACTTTCTACTTCTTACATGTTGAACTCAAATACCTGTACTTTCTACTTCTTACATGTTGAACTCAAATACCTGTACTTTCTACTTCTCACATGTTGAACACAAATACCTGTACTTTCTACTTCTTTCATGTTGAACACAAATACCTATACTTTCTACTTCTTTCATGTTGAACACAAATACCTGTACTTTCTACTTCTTACATGTTGAACTCAAATACCTGTACTTTCTACTTCTTACATGTTGAACTTAAATACCTGTACTTTCTACTTCTCACATGTTGAACACAAATACCTGTACTTTCTACTTCTTACATGTTGAACACAAATACCTGTACTTTCTACTTCTTACATGTTGAACACAAATACCTGTACTTTCTACTTCTTACATGTTGAACTCAAATACCTGTACTTTCTACTTCTTACATGTTGAACTCAAATACCTGTACTTTCTACTTCTCACATGTTGAACTCAAATACCTGTACTTTCTACTTCTTACATGTTGAACCCAAATACCTGTACTTTCTACTTCTTACATGTTGAACTCAAATACCTGTACTTTCTACTTCTTACATGTTGAACACAAATACCTGTACTTTCTACTTCTTACATGTTGAACTCAAATACCTGTACTTTCTACTTCTTACATGTTGAACTCAAATACCTGTACTTTCTACTTCTCACATGTTGAACTCAAATACCTGTACTTTCTACTTCTTACATGTTGAAACCCAAATACCTGTACTTTCTACTTCTTACATGTTGAACCCAAATACCTGTACTTTCTACTTCTTACATGTTGAACCCAAATACCTGTACTTTCTACTTCTCACATGTTGAACACAAATACCTGTACTTTCTACTTCTTACATGTTGAACTCAAATACCTGTACTTTCTACTTCTTACATGTTGAACTCAAATACCTGTACTTTCTACTTCTCACATGTTGAACACAAATACCTGTACTTTCTACTTCTTTCATGTTGAACACAAATACCTGTACTTTCTACTTCTTACATGTTGAACTCAAATACCTGTACTTTCTACTTCTTTCATGTTGAACACAAATACCTGTACTTTCTACTTCTTACATGTTGAACTCAAATACCTGTACTTTCTACTTCTTACATGTTGAACTTAAATACCTGTACTTTCTACTTCTCACATGTTGAACACAAATACCTGTACTTTCTACTTCTTACATGTTGAACACAAATACCTGTACTTTCTACTTCTTACATGTTGAACTCAAATACCTGTACTTTCTACTTCTTACATGTTGAACTCAAATACCTGTACTTTCTACTTCTTACATGTTGAACTCAAATACCTGTACTTTCTACTTCTTACATGTTGAACACAAATACCTGTACTTTCTACTTCTTACATGTTGAACTCAAATACCTGTACTTTCTACTTCTTACATGTTGAACACAAATACCTGTACTTTCTACTTCTTACATGTTGAACTCAAATACCTGTACTTTCTACTTCTTACATGTTGAACTCAAATACCTGTACTTTCTACTTCTTACATGTTGAACACAAATACCTGTACTTTCTACTTCTCTCATGTTGAACTCAAATACCTGTACTTTCTACTTCTCACATGTTGAACTCAAATACCTGTACTTTCTACTTCTCACATGTTGAACTCAAATACTTGTACTTTCTACTTCTCTCATTTTCCAAACAGCTGGTTCCTTTAGTCTGAATGTGTGTTTGGTGCGTGATCATTATTCTTTAGAGTCATTGCGTGCCTATTGATTTGAACACGATCCGTGTATCCATCATTTCCTGGTCTTCTCTAAAGAAGAGGGACCAATGGAAACGTTGTCATGTTGCCGTTGTTCAGCATGGAAACATTCATTAGCTAACAATGACATTATTGTTCTATTAATATAAAGGGAGGTCAGGTACTCTTTAAAGCAGCTGCTAGTTATGGGTACTTTTTACTGAAGTACATTTCAAAGCCTCTTTACTTTCACTTGAGTAAAGAAGTTTAGTCAGTGCTTCTACTTTCACCAGAGTATTTTTAAACACGAGTATCTGTACTTCTACGTGAGGAAAGGATGTGTGTGGATAACCCATACAGTGTGTATCCTGCATTAAGTTTCTCTCACATGAGTCCCGCCTTTATCTCGTGGACGCAAACTCGCAGGGTTGTTGGTTTGATTCCCGCCAGGTGGAACCTCTTCACCCAGAAAGGCAGCTGGAGGAAATTCTGCATAGCGATCCGGATCCTTGTCAGAACAAAGAAACACAGAAGTTCAACAACAACAACAACAGCTCAGACACACAAACCTGCAATTTCTTCTACATCATCATTGTTTTATTGCCTCCTGGATTAAAATGTCAGGCCTTATTCGTTACCCTCTAAGGCTGCACAGTGAATCCAAATGTTAGCGAACTTTCAACATAGGATAGTGTAATCTCCAAATCTACGGAAATGTAGTATTTGTAAATATGTTTTAAATTGCAAATTTGAAGTATTGTGGAGCTGCAGTGATAGATAACAAAGCCTCGAAATTGTATTTTACAGACTTCACAAACCATATTCGATTGATACAGATCCTGTTAAAACAAACAACAAATGAGAATCATAATGGAATCATACCTTACAATATCATGAATCATTTCCCAATTGAAACATAAGTCAAACAAATCCCAATTACGGCCCGTCCACACAGCGGCGTGCGTTGAAAGCTTCACCATTCACTTTGAATGGGGTGACGTCACTTTTCGCCGAACTGCATTGTGGGAATTGAAGCTTTGCTGGCGTGGCTCGCTGCAAAAGTTGAGCAATGTTCAACTTTTGAAGCCTCGGCAGAAGCGTCAGCCAATCGAATCATATGCCGGTACAAGCTCTAGCCAATCAAACCGCTGCTTGTGTGTCAGGGGCGGGAGATTCATGTGATTGGTTGTTGGTCGAGTTTCAGACACGCCCGCCGGCAGGCTTCAACGCACGCCGCTGTGTGGACGGGCCGTTACTTATTTTTCCCAAATCGTGCAGCACTAATACTATAAGAAAAAGACTTTGATAAATACACCAAAAAGCTGTAATTGAATTAAACGTTGTGTCATAAAAATCCTCTTGTATGTGGACTGATAAACTGGGAGTTGTTCACATAACGTTCTGGTCTTACTGGTCTGAGGGGACGACGAGTCTCTCTCCGTGGTCCACCAGGAGGCATCGAGCCTGACAGGAAACTGAGTCCGTGACGATGGACTCAACCAGCACCCGACACCACGACTTTATCACCGCCCAGTACACCACACACACCTGGGAGGAAACACAGTGTTGGGGAAACACTGAATGTCCTCTTCCAACATGAGTCACATGATAACAAAGGTGTCCCAACTGTAGCTGTGCACATGACAGGATGTGTGATTACCTAGACAGGGTTCCTGCAAGGTTTCGCCAACTCAAATTTAAGACTTTTTAAGACCACTTTGAATAGAATTTAAGACCTATTTCACGGCAAGAAAGTATGAAGGAAAATTGCTATGAAAGAAGAAACACGCCCCATAATTACTTACAAAGCTTGTGGAAGTGCGCTCCAAAATATTTGTTGATCTTGTTTATTGGTATTTATTATTTTGATATTATTTTAATTAAATTAATTTTTGTATTGGTTTTTCAGTTGAATTATACGTTCAGGGTAATCAACAGTTAAAAAGCTACTGTTCAAATTATTATTTGTTTTAAAGTTCAATAAATGGATGTTTTCAAAGTCAATGAATAATCGTGATATCAATTAATTTTTCATTATTGGCTACAACCTTTCATCGTTGCTGTTGTATGATTGGTGTATAGCTACGGTATTTAGCGTCTACAGCACCTCCGCTTTTATGGTTGACGTAGACCCAAACGTCGCCCGGAGGTCCCCCGGTGTTGTTGCGGGAGCTGCTGCACTAGCTAACGCTGCGCTAGCTAACGCTGCATTAGCAAAGGTGCAGCGGGCTTCAAACACGTTCCCTCCACTGGTTTCAACCAAGCACTAAATGCGATGTTTTCCAACCAAATACGGTTGAACTTCCCCGTATTTCTTTGCAAGTAGATTCGAAGATACATGAGTTTCTGACTGCCGCTAGCTGAAGCTTGGTTGCTAGGTTACTAGCTGGGTGTTCTCCCATAAGGGGACGGGGGAAACAAAGTTAGTGATTACTGGTTCCATGTTGATTTAATTCAATACAGATTGTTGGGGGGAACTGGAAGGCTCTTACCGTACTGGTTACTTTGCAGCCCGGACATTTCCCCCAAAACACATCTAGACGCGATCGCTACACAGAAGTGACATTCAAATCCCATCATTTTTAAGACCTTCTAAAATCATATTTAAGACCTTTCTTATTTTTTTGGTCATATTTAAGACCTTTTTAAGGCCTTAAATTCAGATTATCAAATTTACCCCGCGGGAACCCTGCTAGAAGAGCATCAGGACTGTTTGAGGCAGATGATAGCTATGTGATTAACATGATGATTCAGCCTCTATGGAGACAGACATCAAGCATGCTCATTTCTGACGTGGAGCTAATCTGAAGTAAACATTGAATACTGCTTTCTACTCCTCCATCTTGTGACTGTGTAACTCCCTCTCTTGGATATCAGCATGTGAAGGACACTGTTCAGGAACTAGTTGATGCTCTGTATGTGATGACTCCTTCCATTCTGGAGAGGATCACAGACACATGGATCCTGAGGTTGAAGCTCAAGCCGGGGACCAGTGAGATTTTTCTAACACACAGCAAGATACACAGCTAGTCCACCTGCAGCCCAATACAATAAAGGGGCACTCACACTTTGTGAGTCTCCTTACCGGGGACACATATTTATGTATGAAAGACATCAAAAAGTCCATTTAGCATGATAGGAGACCTTTAAAGTAAATTCAGAGGTTCATTTTTAATGCAACTCGCTTAAAGCATTTTTAAATGGACAAACATGGTGGCGAAAAACACGGCTAATTTATCCATTATTTCTGATTATTTCTGCAGCCCAATAAAGAGGCACAGTAAAGGGCGCTCCTTCCTGAGCGTTCCTGAGGTCTTCTATCATGCTAAATGCACTTTGTGATGTCTTTTATACATAAACATGTGTCCCCGGTGTGTCAGGAGACTCACAAAGTGTCAGAAAACAAAACCCTTTTCCTTCGTACCCAAATCTCTAAAAAGTACAGGGTTAGCTCTGAGTGTTAGGCAATGCTTGCTATGTAACACAGACCATATTACGTCCAAAACACGTTGCGCATTGTTTCTGATTAGGGATGCCAGCGATTATTCGATTATTCGTCACAGTCTCCATAATCGAAAATTATTTTTAAAATTCGATTTTATTTATATATTTTTTTATTATTATTTATGTTTTTTTATTTTTTCCTGGCTTAGTTTCAACCAAAATATAGACTAATGCTAATAATAGTAATAGTATTAAGAATTGTAAATGGCCATTGGTCACACCACCAGTTTGTTTCACTGTAAACTTGGAGGAAGGCAGCAGCCCTTCGCTGCGCTGCTACCCCCCCCCCCCCTCTCCGTCACACGTGCGATTGATTTATTGGAGTGAGAACACAACTAAAGATGAACAAAGGAAAGAAGAGTTCAAACTGACAAGTGCAAATGAAGTCAAATGCAAGTGGAGTACTTCGTGACCACAGAGTGTGAACGTTGTGATCAGCTGTTCTAGCACAGTTCTCCAGTGAAGGGGGGGGGGGGGGAAGGGGGGGGGGGGGTCTCCCTCTGCAGCCCGGTTGGCGTAGTTTTGGCACAATTCCGTTGTACAGACCGACGTTAACAGCAGCCCTTTTTCCTCTCTCTCTCTCTCCCGCGGGGCGGGGGGGGGGGGGGCGTCGAATAATCGATTATTATTCGCCAGGGCTGTCCGATTTTAAATTTGTATCATGGTCAGTTTCTGATAGCAACTTTTCTGATGGGGCCGTGGGTCTAAAGCCAGCCCATATTTTAGTAATGTCGTCATGAAGCAGCAAATCTGGATCAGCTCCGTTGTTCCCCCGTTTTTAGAGGAAAGAGAGAGAGTGTCCCCAGTGAGTCTCCTTACACACCGGGGACACATATTTATGTATAAAATACATCAAAAAGTGCATTTAGCATGATAGGAGACCTTTAGAGTAAATTCAGAGGTTCATTTTTAATGCAACTCGTTAATTATCGGAACTACAATCAATTTTCCATCCGATTTAAGGGGGCAGAATGATGTAATGTCTGAAGGTGTGTTACCTGTCCCTCCTCTAACGATGTGGGCGTCAGCTTGCGTAGGTCTTGGGTCACGTCGTGGTAGAAGAGGTTCATCTGAGCAGCAGACAGAGGTGGAAAAGTACACATCCTTTACTCAAGTAGAAGTACAGATACTCGTGTTTAAAAATACTCTGGTGAAAGTAGAAGTACTGACTAAACTTCTTTACTCAAGTGAAAGTAAAGAGCGCTTTGAAATGTACTTCAGTAAAAAGTACCCATAGCTAGCAGCTGCTTTAAAGAGTACCTGACCTCCCTTTATATTAATAGAACAATAATGTCATTGTTAGCTAATGAATGTTTCCATGCTGAACAACGGCAACATGACAACGTTTCCATTGGTCCCTCTTCTTTAGAGAAGACCAGGAAATGATGGATACACGGATCGTGTTCAAATCAATAGGCACGCAATGACTCTAAAGAATAATGATCACGCATCAAACACACATTCAGACTAAAGGAACCAGCTGTTTGGAAAATGAGAGAAGTAGAAAGTACAAGTATTTGGGTTCAACATGTGAGAAGTAGAAAGTACAGGTATTTGAGTTCAACATGTAAGAAGTAGAAAGTACAGGTATTTGTGTTCAACATGTAAGAAGTAGAAAGTACAGGTATTTGTGTTCAACATGTGAGAAGTAGAAAGTACAAGTATTTGAGTTCAACATGTGAGAAGTAGAAAGTACAAGTATTTGAGTTCAACATGTAAGAAGTAGAAAGTACAGGTATTTGTGTTCAACATGTAAGAAGTAGAAAGTACAGGTATTTGTGTTCAACATGTAAGAAGTAGAAAGTACAGGTATTGAGTTCAACATGTAAGAAGTAGAAAGTACAGGTATTTGAGTTCAACATGTAAGAAGTAGAAAGTACAAGTATTTGAGTTCAACATGTAAGAAGTAGAAAGTACAAGTATTTGAGTTCAACATGTAAGAAGTAGAAAGTACAAGTATTTGTGTTCAACATGTAAGAAGTAGAAAGTACAGGTATTTGAGTTCAACATGTAAGAAGTAGAAAGTACAGGTATTTGTGTTCAACATGTGAGAAGTAGAAAGTTCAGGTATTTGAGTTCAACATGTAAGAAGTAGAAAGTACAGGTATTTGGGTTCAACATGTAAGAAGTAGAAAGTACAGGTATTTGTGTTCAACATGTAAGAAGTAGAAAGTACAGGTATTTGAGTTCAACATGTAGAAGTAGAAAGTACAGGTATTTGTGTTCAACATGTGAGAAGTAGAAAGTACAGGTATTTGAGTTCAACATGTAAGAAGTAGAAAGTACAAGTATTTGTGTTCAACATGTAAGAAGTAGAAAGTACAGGTATTTGAGTTCAACATGTAAGAAGTAGAAAGTACAGGTATTTGAGTTCAACATGTAAGAAGTAGAAAGTACAAGTATTTGTGTTCAACATGTAAGAAGTAGAAAGTACAGGTATTTGAGTTCAACATGTAAGAAGTAGAAAGTACAGGTATTTGAGTTCAACATGTAAGAAGTAGAAAGTACAGTATTTGTGTTCAACATGAGAGAAGTAGAAAGTACAGGTATTTGAGTTCAACATGTAAGAAGTAGAAAGTACAGGTATTTGGGTTCACACATGTAAGAAGTAGAAAGTACAGGTATTTGAGTTCAACATGTAAGAAGTAGAAAGTACAGGTATTTGAGTTCAACATGTAAGAAGTAGAAAGTACAGGTATTTGAGTTCAACATGTAAATAGAAAGTACAGGTATTTGAGTTCAACATGTAAGAAGTAGAAAGTACAGGTATTTGTGTTCAACATGTAAGAAGTAGAAAGTACAGGTATTTGAGTTCAACATGTAAGAAGTAGAAAGTACAGGTATTTTGTTCAACATGAAGAAGTAGAAAGTACAGGTATTTGAGTTCAACATGTAAGAAGTAGAAAGTACAGGTATTTGTGTTCAACATGTAAGATAGAAAGTACAGGTATTTGTTTCAACATGTGAAGTAAAGTACAGGTATTTGGGTTCAACATGTAGAAGTAGAAAGTACAGGTATTTGAGTTCAACATGTGAGAAGTAGAAAGTACAGGTATTTGAGTTCAACATGTAAGAAGTAGAAAGTACAGGTATTTGGGTTCAACATGTGAGAAGTAGAAAGTACAGGTATTAGTGTTCAACATGAGAGAAGTAGAAAGTACAGGTATTTGTGTTCAACATGTAAGAAGTAGAAAGTACAGGTATTTGTGTTCAACATGTGAGAAGTAGAAAGTACAGGTATTTGAGTTCAACATGTAAGAAGTAGAAAGTACAGGTATTTGTGTTCAACATGTAAGAAGTAGAAAGTACAGGTATTAGAGTTCAACATGAGAGAAGTAGAAAGTACAGGTATTTGAGTTCAACATGTAAGAAGTAGAAAGTACAGGTATTAGAGTTCAACATGTAAGAAGTAGAAAGTACAGGTATTAGTGTTCAACATGGAAGAAGTAGAAAGTACAGTATTTGAGTTCAACATGTAAGAAGTAGAAAGTACAGGTATTTGAGTTCAACATGTAAGAAGTAGAAAGTACAGGTATTTGAGTTCAACATGTAAGAAGTAGAAAGTACAGGTATTTGTGTTCAACATGTAAGA